CCAGGTTAGGCTTTTTTGTGATAACTCTGAATTATAGCTGGTATTACGTAATTTGACTTACATGCGTGTAGACGTCAACACACTTGAATGCATACAGACAGGCACAATCAACTATAAGTAACCTAATTAATGTAAAAGAAGAGTGACCAAATCATTATCTATATTTTTTTTGTTTATGAGTATATATAGCATGTAAGATAGAATGAATTTCAACTCCTCCGATGTCCGTCATATGACGGTCGATTGCTCAGCCCCGTTTCATCCGAAACGGGTAGGGTTGTCTCGTGGACCACATCGTATTAAAGCTAACCGCTCCAGAACAACTGGATGAGATTAACCAACTATTCTCTTAATAATGTAATTTCATACTAAATGAAAGTCCCGACGACAAGTCTTGATGTTAACCAAAATAAAAATATTAATGAATAAAATGATTTTATTTAATATTTTATACTACTAACAGTAGCATATATCATTCAACTGTCTCAAATGGATAGTTAATTTTCATAAACTTTTAATCCACTTAATTGACCGCTAGCAAAACTGGTGACACGATATTGAAGATAAAGCTGGAATATCTTGTAAATTTCAATTTCTTTTGAGTTATATAGAAGCGGTCTTTTAAAATGCCTGTTGCAAGAAATTTCAAAGCATAAATGTCATTTCTCCTTCATATTTCGTCGACACAGTCGTTAGCAATCTAGTAGCACTACACTTAATTAATACGCAAAGAAATAAGTCCGGTTCCTTATGGCTATCTTAAAACAAATTACCAATAATCAATCAATAGGAGTTTCAGCCTAGCTCTATTTAAGGGTCTGCAATTTTGTAGCCTTCATGAAACTCCTGCTTCTGATTAGTTCGGGTATCTATTTTGGGCGAATCTGCAAGACTTTCTTCTTCCCCTAATGTAGTCAAAAGCCTACGGTAACAGATAAGGTGCCCTGTGGTTTCTTGCTAAGAGAGGGCAATTATCACCCCGGCCAGATACACCAACTAGATCACTACGTTTAGCTTTGTAACCTTGCTCATAAATGACTGGTTGGTCTTTCCTAGCAATAGGCAGTAACATGTACAATTGATCGTCGAAATCGCGTTAGCCAAATTATTGCTGCTGCCTCCTTTAAATACGCACAAGAATGAAATTAACTCTTCTTTAACACAACCATCGTGCTTTGCACTGGTTTTAGAATTGTTGCTTACCCAGTTTAATTAAAAATATTTTTAGGCTAAGTTCAACAAGTTAGCCCCTCATTTGTGCGTAGCTCCGAGTTACTCCTTAACCTTACTGATCCTTAATAAACCTGTTTTAGAAAATGTATTAACTTCAATATTTATACCACCATCAAAAGGTTTTAGTTCCTCCCTCTTCTTTGTTGACTTATCATTTGGCTGGTCAGCATGTGTGCTTGTGTGTGAACTTGTGTGGGCGCCCAAGAGGGCGGGAAAGGCCGAAAGCGAATTAATGTTTGTTTATCCACATATTTGGGTTTGGAAAATGGGTTTATAGAATATTCTTACTTGCATCCATAATTACAGTTTATGGAACGGCAGATTTCTTAAGATATCCAAACTATCCTGCTTTACCTCTTCCCTTCCTTCCCTCACCTATCACTGCCTCTCCGGCAACTGCTTTCATGGGATTATTTTTTGGCTTTTTTATGAAGCCACAGATCCAGCCACAGCAGGTAAGCTCGAACTGGACACGTACTTTCATATTACCCCATCTAGAATAAAATCACACATTCACTTCCGCCCCTCCCCTCTGCTCAGGTAAGAAGCCATGATCGGCGTTGTTCACACAGACCTCATCACTAATATTATCACAATGACAAAATACTTTTTCCTCTTGTTCTGGCATAGAGGCCAGACAGGATGCAAGTTTCACGACTTTCGCTTGCTTCTGAATCATCTTTGTTGGCTTAGGGACCACATGGGGGGACCATTATTTGCCCACATTGTTTAGTATACATAAAGGCGATAACGAGGGAAGCGGGGCCCCTTCCCATGGGGTATGCCTACACATCTCTGGGCTCGTGCATGTATTGGTGTGTGTCAGCTGCAAATGCTGCCACAGCCAACCGTCTGGTGTGCCCGAAACGCGAAGATTTGGTGCACTTCTCAGGAATCCCACCCTACGGCCTCCCGACCATGAAAGCTGGCCTGAACGGGTTGCAAAACATTACACATATTGTGCATGTTTTATGGCCTGTACCCAGTCGCCTCCCCTCCTGCGTCCCTCATTCACCTTGCCTACGCAACACTGGCAGTTGCTGGCAGGCCGTTCCGCAGACGAAGAAGCAGCAGAAGATATTGCACTTCCCACTCCCCCCCTCCCCC